TGCGCCTGCCACGTATTTTGTACTTCGCGGCCTATGTAAGGAAATCTCTGCGGGGCAAACCTAGGGCTACGCCCGTACTACTACTACTACTACTACTACTACTACTACTAGTACTAGTACTAGTACTAGTACTAGTACTAGTACTAGTACTAGTACTAGTGCTACTACTGCTACTACCACTACTACTACTACTGCTACTACTACTACTACTACTACTACTGCCACTACTAGTACTACTATTACTACTACTACTACTACTACTACTACTGCCAGTATTTCCAGCCGCGCAACTACCTGTCGCTTAAACCGTTCGGCAAGCACGGAACAGTACGGAGGAAACGCTCCTGCAAAAGTGACACCCGCAGGGCGAAGCAGTTAAGCAGTATGCAGGAAAACGGTCCGTTTGAGCCTGAGAAACTGCAGTGCGCACAGGGAACATTCATCGTCGTCATCATCATCATAAACACCATTTCTTTTTGGCCACTGAATCACATTCTTTAGCCACGAGCCATAAAGGCAGCAGAATGACTGCTTGAGGCTGCCATGTTTGTCTTTGTCCTCACCCCGCAATCCCCAGAGTGCTAAGCAGAGGTAGTTTGTAGGGGGGTCGCGTACTACAACTCCTACTATTTGTTGTTTGGTCAGTTCATTTTGATGACCGGGCCGATGGGGCATAGGAGTCGGTAGAATTCCGGGATTTCACTGTTTGGAGATGTTGCGCATTGAAGATTCAGTTGGCCATCCGAGACAGGACTTGCTTCAAGCCTGAAGAATTTGAGGTGCAAGACTCTGCGTCTGAGCCTGACAAAGCTTGAACGTGATGGGGCGCAATGCTCTTCAGAAGCTGTAAGACCAGCAGTGTCAAAGTCATCGTTCCCGCTCCTTCGTTTCACGTGTGCAGACTTTCAATGACTCGAAGTATTTATTTGCATTGTTTTGGCATGGCTGTCGTTCAACAACGACTTGAACTGCAGAATCCGATTCTGCACAAAGCAGCAAGCAGCCGGCTTTTTCTGACATGCGACGTGCCACGTGCAACTCGCAAAGGCTCAAACGTTGCTCAAGCAGACCAGCATCTGCTCCTGAACCATGTCACTGAGCAGGACTTTAAGACTTGCTCATTGCCTCTCCTTCAATGCCTGCTGGCTCACCAGAGTCCGAAGTGCTTCGGAACGAGTGGCATTCTTTTACAAAAAACATAGACTTGGACATATGTGACACAAACATGCTATCCGTTTTCCAAACCGCTCGCAAACGGCAGCCATGGATGGCACTGGCCGCTACATCTCAAATGTCAGGCACGCATCATTGTTGCCCTTAGTTGCGCGCGACGTTCACAGTGCCAGGTGATCTGACGGACTTGGTTCACTGGCAGCGGGAGCTGGCTGACAATTTGCAGGCAGCTCTCTCTGAAGGATAGGTACGTATTGTACCAGCAGAGATGTCAACAGCATAATGCCAACTAGCTGTCCTGGTCCTCGACACTGCAGCTTTGCCGGCCTGGGCTCCCGTTAAAGACAGTCTGCGACATCTTCAAATCTGCAGAAAGCTATCGGTATTTGCACCTGGGGCAACGATTGAAAAATATCTTCCTGATGACAACAAACGTTGCTTGACACCCAAGCCGCTCAGTGTAATGTTCTTCGGCAGCTTTTGATTCACAAGGGTGTGGTCCTGCCAAGGCCCCGCGAGGACCAGAACCTTGCAGTGGCTGTGAGAAGCCTGCAGTTTTCACACTGCAAGCACTACTGAAAAAGCATACTGCTTGACTGCTGTAAGCTACGCATACTCACGCCTAGGCTTGAAGGAGCTGTAAGCAAAGGTTGGAAACGCTTCTGAAAGTCTTGCAGCTGCCGTCCCTCAGGCCTTGTCGCGCACATGCGATGGAATCAATGCTGCGATTGCAGGCATGTCCAACTCGAAAACCTGCAGTGGTGGTCGCGCAACCATGGCGAGGGAATTGCAGAACTATTTCGGATTAAGGATGGAGCTTCTGAAGAAGGGCAGAACTTGGCAGGTTGCTTTTTTTGGCAAGTGATTTGTTTTGCGAGCCACGTGCCTGCGGGACAAGACATGGGGTGATTTTCTCCCCGAGTCGCTTTTTCAGGCATGCTCAGGTATCATCGCTATACAGTGATTTCAAAGGCCCAGAGAACCTGAGCTCGACAGATGCCTGAGTGTAGCAGGCAGCTCTGCAGCCATCCATGCTATCCAAGGGTCAACCTCACAATCAGACATGGACGCAGGTGTCTTGGCGAGCCTAACTGGACTTTGCCGGTTGCATACCTGCTAGGAAGACAACACCGCACGGGCACGTGGATCTGAAATAGCTTTTTGTAGCCGATCTTCAAACAGGGTGGAATTCACGACGCCCACTGAACTGTAATGATGCTGCACAAATGTTGCGAGCTGCAACCGACCGCCTCGCAAGCGCGAGGTTCACGAGAAGTTCAAGCTGGAGTCTGGCGTGCCGGTGAGGACCGGCGCCAAGGCAAAGGCCTCCGACAAAGCCTTTAAGAAGAAGCGCTCATCGAGCCGCATCTCCAGCCGCGTCTCCACCATCTCCCTCACTTCCAAACCAGGCCCGCACTTCTTCAGAGCGTGGCTGAAGGGAGAGAGAGGCAGAGAGAGGTAGACGGAGAGACCCTAAAAAGACACATTGGCTCAAGTCGTTCCGGGGGCGAGCCCGTTCGGTTGACCGCAGCGACGGCTTGAGATCACCATAGATCACCCGTCGCGCCTGTAGCCTAAGTGCCGCCGAGGCTCCATTCTGCGTGTTTGACGTCCATCAGTCGTATGAGCTTTGCTGAACTACCTCAGCCCGACCCCAATGGACAACGTCAACAGATCCCGGCCATGCCGCCACCGGCACCTGTCTCCGGCGGCAAGGGTGCAAAAGGGAGGGCGCTTAGATGGAGAAGCGAAGAGGTGCAGCACAACGGAGCGCAGGACGCCTGTCCTAAAAGGTGATGCAACTGCCACCGGAGCGGACAGGCACGAGGCGCCCGACAAGACGCAACAAAGGAGTTTGTTTTTCTTGGGGCCAGAATGGCCACAAACCAAGGAGCTGCTATGCGGTTCGCTCCCTGTGATGTAAAACATGGGGACACCTTCTTATGAGTAAGAATCTGGAAGCCTGAATGATAATCGAGGAAGCACGAGTGTGAACGAGGCTGGGTTCATTGTTTGAAGTCGCTACTGGCTGTCGGTGTGTACATTTGATAGGGCCTTCCATCTCCATCAGTGCCACAACTGCGTGGCATGCACCAGTGGGCAGCGCCGCGCCGGGGGGTCTTGTCGCCGGAAGGAAGGAAAGAAAGAATGAAGGCACGAATGGAATCTAAACGGAAAGAAGAAAGGAAGCAAGGGAAAGCGCAAAGGGGTTGTGCAAGGGCTGCTTGTATTTTCAGCCTGCAGCAAGCTAGCAGGCAAGCAAGCAAGCAAGCCAGAGAGAAAAAGCAATCCCAATCATTTGTGCCAAGCATTCGGCAGGCACGCGCTTGCTGGATGATTGGAGCGAGGCTTTCGTGGTATCCGAGCAAGAGGCTACGAGTATCTACAACGAGCTCTACGGATGCTTGTTTGACTTGTTGCATCTGTGCCGAGCGCATACTGAAAGAAGCTTTGTCAAGCTAAGGCGAACGTGCCTCCGAAGGAGAGCGGGCCTTCTCAAGCATTCAAAGCATGCGAGAGTTCAGTACTCAGTGTTGTCAACGCCGCCCGGCTTATCAAGAAGGGGCTGATGCTGTTGTCCGCCTTTGACGCTTTTCAGATCCAGAACCCCACGCTTTCAATCAAGCCATGCCTGAACATTATGGATGGCACCCACCCTTGCACGCGCCCTGTAGTTCGTGATGACTCCCAGGGTCTGTTGCCAGGGGCAAAGGGTTACTTGGCCAAGCGCCTCAGATGAGCATGAATTGACTGAGAACTGCACATGAGAGTGGTAGCCGGAGGCAAACGAATCCGTGCAACACTTTTCGCGACGTGGGAGCTCATGACATTGAGTCTGGTTTTGGTAGACACCGTGCTGACTCCATTGACACTGGCTTGGCCAAGCAGCAGAAGGACACCGTTCCGATCCACAACATTTTTCCAGGCAACACGGCTGTGCACAGGTTTTAGCACTTGTGCCGCAGGTTGAAGAAAAATCATTTCTCCAGTCTGCAAGCCTCGTAGGCAGCAGGAGCAGGCCAAGTTTGGCGTTAAGCAAAAAAACGGAGCACAGGCGCAAACTGGGTTTTTGCGAGGCAGGGACCCAGAAGGAGCAATCATCAGCGGGTCTTGTCCGGAGTTCATGTCACATCATGTTGTCGCAGTGCTGCTTCAAGGCGAGTCCGTGGATCTGGAGCCTTGATATTCTGATGAGCTTTGCCCCTGCCATCCTAGCCAGCTCGTACTCCCAGAAGCTCCTGCTCGCAAAGAAATACTTGGGTGGATCGCCTGCATTCAGTGTGCCATGGCGTGCTGCAGGATCATGTGCAGGATTGCACAAAGTGGCAGGAGGCACCTTCAGTGCACTTCTCGCATAGGACCATATCAATAATGACGTTCTGCCAGCTTCGTGGCGCCAGACGACGGCACTCTAGTCGTGAAGGCTAACTGAAACTGAAGGCGGCAACCAGTGTTCAGCGAAGCTATACCGCGTATCTCACCGTGTAATCTCGTCTTGTCCTCGTGACAGCCTGTTCAACTTCTTGTTGGCGCAATGGTACCATCTTCAGACTCCTGACCAGAAATGTGGCCGGAGCTGCCCTTGTTTTGCTCCCTCGCGTGCCCAGGCTCAGCATTCCCACTTGACGTGCAGATCTCGGATTTGCAAGTGGCTTTTAGCTTGACATGAGATTCCCGGCAGAACGGGTATAAACGGTCTGCCCGCAAACTAGACCAGTCGTCAGTTGAGGTGTGCTTACTGTCGGTGGATATCCTGGTCTTGTTCGGAATCCAGGACGAGGGACTGAGATTGCTGGTATTGCTCCGGCTGGTACGTTTCCTGAAAATGCAGAGGGCCGCTTCGCTTGAGAAGCCCATTTTTGGGGGCTGTTGCCTTGCGTCCTGGGCACGCATTTTTGAACTGGTGCATCTAAGACTTAGAATCTAAGAGGTCATGATCTCGGTGTTCTTCCAATGGCCCGGGCCATTCGAAGTGAAACGGACCTTCCACGCTGCCAAGCATCCCAAGTCAAAGGTTTGCAATCGCGTGCCCCTTTTCCTGTGAAGTGGTTTGCGGAATTGGAAACGCGTGCGCTCAAGTTTGGCGGGATCTACACGAACTTGCGAGATGACGATGACTTGGACTGCGTAGGACCTTGAATGCGCGTGGGCGTGGAATGAAGCGACACTAGCCAGCATAGATGCACCGACAAAGCGCATGAAGGTGAAGTGATGTTTCTGCACAAGTACCGTGAGAATGCCCCGCAGCATAAGTTTCGCAAGTCATTCTGCATGGCCTGCCAGCCGAACCCGTTGCAAAGAGCCGAAACATAGGTGGGCCAGAAGTGGCACGGCCCATTAATTGATGAACCAAGAACGTCTTGTCAACACAACGGCAACAATCGCCAAGGGCAAAAGCTGAATCGAAGGGGGGGCAGCAATGCTGTGATATTGCCTGTTGATGTTTCGAACATCTTGACACAGAAGACTGGCAACACCAGGTCATCACTACCTTTGAGTACAAGCTGGCAGAACGTGGGAGTACCAAAGTGGTGTCATGCCTTGTTATTCTGCAGTGTATTGCCACTATCCTCATTGTGAACCACATCTTGGCGTGCTTGTTGTTCTATGTTGGGCATCTTGGAAAAATCTCGAACCGGAAGAACTGGATCGAGTTTTACGAAGTTCTGGAGCAGACGCAATATTCCCAGTATATGCACCTTGCAGAAGATTAGCTTCACAGGGGAGTTGGACCACATCCATCTGTGCCATGCAGTTGTGATTGCTTTCACAGTGATGAGCTCAGGACATGCTTCAATTGGGTTATTGCAGAATACACTCCAGCCCCCTTTCCATATAAACCTCAAAACGAAATGGAACAGACCTTCATTATCGCATTCTGGCTGCAATTGGCAGAAGATGTCCGCTGTGGCATTCGCGGTGCTGGCATGGCTCTGCATCCTTCAGGTGATCATCCTGACATGCTTGCCTTTGCTCGGTTCTCAAATAGGAAAGATCAGTGGTACCTTGAACTTGATGAAGGAAAAGGCACGTGTGGGAGGCTCAGTCGAAACCTGACTCGCGCAAAGCAACATGCACACACCGGGCGATGCTACAAACAAGTCAGTCTGCAGACCCGGCTTTGGCCAGTTGTGCAGGAACGAGATATGGTGAGAAGAGTGCCTCGATCAAGCTTGTCCAATCCTTCAGGGACGATGAGATTTTTGCACTTGTGCTCACAGACAGCTTCACTGACACGTGAAACGTCTAAGTCGATGCATCATTGTGAGACTGCCCCGACATGGTTACACAATGTTACACATGACTCGGAAACATGCAAGGAGCTGCGGAGATGGCTTCAGAAACGAGAAGCACCGGGGCGACTAATGAGGCCGCTCAGATGGTGAAACATGCTGGAAGAGACGACCAAGAGTCTTAAAAGATGAAGGTAGCAGCAAACTTCACGCTAGCCGCAAGCATCATGCACAGCCATGCTGCTAGCCAGAAGTCTTTGTATACATATGTATACATGTTGCTGCATTCACGCAGGCGCATGCTCGCTTCCTTGGACAACGTCCTTGCCTCCAGGGAATCGCCATTGGAGATCAAGGAACCTATGGCTCTCAAGTTTCTTCCGCACAGCTTGTTAGAAGAACTGCGGATCGTGAAGATGAGCCAAAAGTTGGGAATGCACCCATTACTGCACATGCTGATGGACGATGCTGGGCGGCAAACTTTAGTCAGTGGTGCTTGATACTTTGTGACTGTTGAAGGCTTCTTTCGAGCAGCCAGGCCGGGTAGTAGGTTGTTCTCATTCGGTGTTCCATGGCATCTTTCCCGAAACCACTGGGCCCTTCTGCCTTAGAGAGCTTGCTGGGATCCAGAACGGGTTTCCGAATAAGGTTGAACATGCCGCCCGATAAACTGTTAAACTACTGATGGACGACGAGGACTGCAGCAAATCACTGCCTCGCACTCTTCTGTCAATTGCCAGGCGACTGTCCTACAAATTTACTCGGGCGATCCTCCACTGCAGCTTGACGCCGGAGCATGTTGATTCTGATGCGATGGTTGGGGAATCGACCGGTGGAGCATGACGTGCTGACCACTTCTCTGCTGCAGTCAGTGAGCGGAGGAGAAGCATCCTCGATGGAAGGTCAAGGTTGTGTCGAGTTTCACGACGAGCGACATTTATTCGACGCACAGCACAGCGCCGGGCCAAGGATGTGCCCTGAGGGTCATGGGGGCAGGCAGTGGGGAACGAAGGATTCTGGAAAGGAAGGAGAGGACTCCGACAGGGTACAGGAAAGAGCGAATGAGAAGGCGCCCCAATGCATCAGAATGCTTGTTGTCTGATGCTGCAGATGCATTTGGCAGCAACGATAAGGACAAGACAAAGTGGATCATCGGAGCGACAAACAGCATCCCGCTGCTTCGGGCTGGGACTCTACATTGCCCATCTGCGACACGGTTCACTGTGCCGGTTGAGCAGTGCTGAGAAATGGCAGGTCGAAGACACTACTGCCAATGTTAAGAAGAACATGTCGGACCATTTCAACAGGAACCTCGCGGTGGTAGAGCGGAAGTGCGGGTGCCTGGATTGAATGGACACACTCGGCCCGACAAATGCGGAAGCAGGACCGCGCTTCGGGGAAGTCGGCGAGGAATTAATACCGTAGTCGTCACCTCGGAAAGGTGAAGAATGTGCCGAGAAGACAGGTGTTCGACTGCAAACATGTGAGAAGGCACTAGACTGCAAGTGATGTACGTAAGGCACGAATGCTGGATTGACCGCATGTTCATTTTTTAGATGCATGTGTCTTCCACTTGTCAGTGGAATTCAAACTGGTGCTCTGACTGCCAACGGCAGAAAACTGTTTTGCAAAATGAGGGTGCAGATTGACGAGTATCGTGTTTACGTGATTGCGCTCGGATGCGATCTGGGCGACCGCTTGTTGCCATTTAACAACGGTTCCTTCCTCTTCGATTGTACAGGCACGCTGCCATTGATCGCTAGAGCAAAAAATCAGATGTTGGGGGGTTGCTTCATGGGGGTTAGTTGGGATAGGATGGTTGTTGACCCACTGCATAGATTGAATGATGCACCTGAAGATGCACGTGATTTTTGGTGGTTTCATACAACTGAGGATCGGCTGGCAATTTCTGGCCGTTTGAGCACGTCTTTTCGTGATGTCAATGCCGTCCAGGGCGACGCGGTCTTCACATCTGGTCGTCGTGGTGAAGGCTGCGGCTTACCGTTGGCCGCTTCTCGAGACCACTCTAACACAGGGGTCCGCGGCAGCGACAGACACACACACACACATGTAGATCCCGGTCGAGGCCGGTTGTCATCTTCTTGTAACTGTCTTTTCTACTCTTCTCTTCAACTTCAAAAGTGAACATTAATAATTGAACTATTGTGGGTGAGCCTGTGAAACCTGTGCAAAGAATCACTGTAATTAAAAGCTAGATGCAGTACAAAATTTCACAACTTGAGGCCTTAAGTCTGATATATTTGTATTGGAAAAATGCACATCTCACGGAATAGGCTACCAGCCTTTCTTTCCTCGTCTCGATTATATGCTGTATACTGACTGGATGGGAGCCTGTGAAACTTGTGCAGGGAAATCAAGATGATCAGATCTAGATGCAATACAAGACGTCCAAACTTTCTTTGAGCCTCAAGTCCCACCAATGCTATCACTCGTTCAGATCATTTGCTCAAACCATCGGAGGTCTTCGTTGGCCGCAGCTCCGATGGTACGCCTGCGGCCCCCTACTCTTCGATTCGCTATGCATCACGACACAATGGTTATTCGCCGACTCAATCCTTAGGTACAGGAGTTCCACACACACACACTCCTGGTTAAACCGGTTATCAACACAACTAGACGAGAAAGTCAACGCAAGGACAGAAGGAAGCAGCCCCTGCTCTGAAGACAGTTCTGAATTGGCGATGTCTGTTCCGTGCTGTTGTCGTCGCCGGAACTGAATCCGACATGGACCAGAATGAAACGAAACGAACAAACACGGATGCAGGGTGTCCTTTGGGTGGCGAAACGATCTGCATTATGTTTGGGTATTCACGATCAGAACGAGATGAGATGAACACAGCAAGCGACATCACGTCTTAGGTACGAAGGACGGTTTCGCCTCCTGAGAGCAAACTTGGATCAGCTTTGGGTAACCATACTTCTCAGCATGGTTTTGGGTATGCTTCGGATAATGTGTGTGGTTTTTCGTCGTCTTCCATTGTGTAGTTATCTAACAAAGATTATGAAGCCTTCAGACTGCAAACAGCTGTAGCTGCAGTACAAAAACTTTTGCACGTAAGCTTGGACCTCAAGGCTGATTTGCCCCTTTAACTTAGTCTCGTCGTCTTCTCTTGAACATTGAACTGAAGTGAGAGCAGAATGAAACGACACGACAAAAAGCGGATGCAGGGTATTCTTTGGGTGGCGAAACGAGTTAGATCACGGTGCATTTATTATTGAACGACATGGGAATGGACACACGAGTAAAATCCAGCGAATCAGTTCCTTATTAATTTTCACGCAATGGCGGGTGCTTCCTGGGAGCGTCCAGCCCCTTACACTCTTGATCTGCTTTCAGTCGCACCGGCATCTCTCGGAGCTGCCAGCTTTGATCTTCGGATGGGCATCGTTTTCGGTCGCAGCGGCATCTCTTTGAGCTTCAAGCCCAGCTTTGATCTTGAGACCGGCATCGCAATGTACGGATTGTACTACAGATGAATATTATCTGAACCTGAACAACAAGCACCGAAAAATGAAATCAGTGACAGATGAGCACGACATGGTAATGGAGAAACCACATAAAAAAACAAACCCAAGATTCAGAAGTTCTCAAACCCTTTCACGACAACCCGACGTTGGGTGCTTGTTGGGTAACGATTTTTTTCCCTTGTCGTCGTCGAATTGGGTGCTTGTTGGGTATGCTTGGATCAGCTTCGGATATACAATCCTTGGATGGATCTGGGATCAAGAGGGCTTGTTGGGATAAGTTTCAATAGGAGATACTTCAGAATCTTGAGGTTGGGGAAACTTCGGCTAAACGTCTGACACACCAACTGACATGTCAGAGATGCTAGGGTGCTTTCTGAAAGTGAGTAAAATGGGGTTGCATTAGCCTTCACGAATCAAGGGTTACTTGCAAAGCAGTCTGGTCTGAGACCAGAAGATAAATCTTGGGTACTTGTTGGGTATGCTTGGATAAGCTTCGGATCGGGGCGCAATGCCCATCACGACTGGCCCTTTGTCAGAATTACCAGCGAAACACACATGTAGATCCCGGTCGAGGTCGGTTGTCATCTTCTTGTATCTGTCTTTTCTACTCTTCTCTTCAACTTCAAAAGTGAACATAATTGAACTATTGTGGGTGAGCCTGTGAAACCTGTGCAAAGAATCACTGTAATTAAAAGCTAGATGCAGTACAAAATTTCACAATTTGAGGCCTTGAGTCTGATATATTTGTATTGGAAAAAATGCACATCTCACGGAATAGGCTACCAGCCTTTCTTTCCTCGTCTCGATTATATGCTGTATACTGACTGGATGGGAGCCTGTGAAACTTGTGCAGGGAAATCAAGATGATCAGATCTAGATGCAATACAAGACGTCCAAACTTTCTTTGAGCCTCAAGTCCCACCAATGCTATCACTCGTTCAGATCATTTGCTCAAACCATCGGAGGTCTTCGTTGGCCGCAGCTCCGATGGTAGGCCTGCGGCCCCCTACTCTTCGATTCGCTATGCATCACGACAACGGTTATTCGTCGACTCAATCCTTAGGTACAGGAGTTCCACACACACACACACACCAGCACGGGCATTGTTTCACACGCAGAAACATGCCCTCGCTCTCTAACTCTCTCTCTCTCTCGCTCTCTCTCTGCCTTTCCCTCTACCTCCCGCCCCTTCTGCGCACGACCCTGTTGAGAGCACCATGTTTTGATGAGCCGAAGTTCTGCTGGCAGGACTATACATCACTCAAAGCGGGCAGTTTGTTCTGCACACGGATCCGCTGCAGGATCATCTGCCATAGTTCTTCACCACTCATTCGATGTGCATGCGAGAGCCAATGGCTTCGTGAGGATCTGTTGGCCCAGAATGTCCATAAGAAATCCAGCACACACAGTGCAGACCCCAGCCACGGCTCAGCAGATCGGATGAGTCCTAAGAGCATGTTGCAAGGGACTTCTGCGAACCAAGGTTCTGGCACAAGTGCACTGATCCAGCAAGAAACCTGGTTAGCAGTGCTGTCCTCAGGACCAATCAAAACGGCAGAGAGCATCACAGTCAGATTCCCACAAATTTGAGGAACTGTGCCTGTACACCAACCTGAGACTTGCATCAATTGTTGCGCTTCAGTGGGGCAGTGCTGCATGCTCGGGTCTTTCTGACTACTCCGGTGTGAAAAGTCTTTTCGGGCGCAGCTCAGACACATCAGGCACGTGTGGTGGCTAATGTAGTGAGTCTTGAACCATTTTCTGCTGTCATCTGCTCACGTTCTTGCCACCCTCCCAGCACAAACTGCAGCTCGTGAAGAACAAGTATATAGCGTTCGAGGACCCATATTTCGACTCTCACGTGCACCGTTTATTCCAAAGTGCTGATGACCCCAGTGGCAGAGTTTATCCAAGCCGGGCTCTCAGCTTTGAATGGTTCCAGTCAGGTGCCAGGCGGCACATAACTCTGCAGACC